TTCATTATTGCTGATGTACAAATTCTGAAAATATATTTCTGCATATTTTAGTGCAGTCTCTGCTAAAGGTCTTTTGTTGCATGCAATTGCATGGCTCAGTGGACAAACTTTCCAGCCAGCTTGGGCAATACAATTGATTACATTGTTACAGGGAGCCATTTCTGCAACCTGATGAGCCATGTTCAGTGAGTGTTGGAGCAGGTGGGAAACTTGGCAAATTGACCTCTCCTTTCTCCAAACAATCTGGAGAAAACAAATTTGAAATTAAAAAACAAACTATAACTGTCTGCCTGCCTCTTATAGTAATTTTTATATATATTTCTATCACCTGTTTGTCTATATCCATAGCTTAAGGGTTGTGAATATTCTTTTATAATTCCAAACACCTAGTTTAATTCAGCTGCAGGCAATCTGGAAGTGGACCATTGTGCTTTGATTGCAGTAATGGCATGAGCATCATCTGTTCAGTAAGCATTTGCAAACTACTAAACATAAACACTGTCTAGGAAAATTACACACAGCCAACCAATGCTAAAGTTGTCTACAATGTCGTGTAGGGGATTTGCAACTATCTTTATTATCTATTTATCTACCACACATTTTCAGAAAGAACCCTTGGTTCCCAGACTGACCCAGCCTTTAGTGGGTACTAGGTGGAGTCCTGGTCAGTAAAGGCAGCCAGCATGATGCCAGACTTCTCTGTCAGCAGTTTTCTGCCTGGCTGTGTTCAATCCCAGTTCTCTGTCAGTCAGAGACTGTTGGATGTTGTCTTCCCAGCAGACCCTGGAGGTCTGGTTCCTTGGTTCTTAGCTTCTCATGCCAGCCGTGGTGGCCGATTTTCTCCCCCATTCTGCATACATATCCAAACCATGGTCACTGTGACTGATCCAGTTCGTAAGGTCTTAGTTTCAAGATCTTGATGTATTGTCTGTGAACTATGTCCCTTCTTGTCACTAGGACCACCTTTTTCAGATATCTCATTTCTAAGGCTGAAACTGGTTTCTGTGAGCTGTTGTCATTGCCCATTTTTTTTTTTTTAACGTATCCAGAAACCATGAGTTGTAAACCCTTTGGCTCGGTACTATGGATATCGCAACCCTTCGCCCTTGATTCCATTATAGGTACCGTTAATCTGGGAGAAATGTGGCTTTTCTGCCTACCCCCGGGAGTGAACCCGGACCACAAGGAGTTCGTCACCCGGCCGCCGCGAAAGTCAGGTTTAACCAACTTCGCTAGTTTAGATCAGGACTGGCACACAGGTAGAGCAGTAAACAGCCATTTTCGTCCTCTTGCCACTTTCTCTTTACCAATAGAAGTTCACAAACTAAAGCTGTGAAACAAGACCAGATACCAGATAGATAAACAGCCAGGACTTTTCATTTGAATTTGCAGCAAAAAGATGAAAAAAATGCACACAACAAACATACCTCAGCTTGAAGGCACATTAAACGAATACAGACATGAACTGTTTCAGTCTGACAACAGCTGCAACAAGCTGTGATGTCCTTCAATATGAGATAGTTTGGATCATCATCTGCAGACTTCTGATCAAAAATTTCATGTTTTGCATCTTCTATAAGGTCTGCAAAGATGTCCTCTTCAAAATCTGGTAAAAATTCAAATGAAAACTAAATAGCTGAAGAAAAAAAATAGACTATTAGAAAAAGACTATTAGAAATTGACATGTGTTTACAACTACAGATATGACATTGCACCAACAGGTTATCTTGCAGATTATTTCCCTTCTTCAACTGATTGGTATTAGTCTAGAGAAAAATTGACAACCATCTGTCTCCAGTTATACATCTTTTATTCACTTTAATGATGTTGACATAAATATTATTATTTGTTATCCAGAATTTGTCACTTACATCTTTCTCTGCCTCTCCTGCCTAGTAGTATTTTTATATATCAGAAAGTTGTCCCCATGTGGGATGCAATTTGTTGTTATTTGAATCCCTACCCTGGCATCTGCCGGGGGCCCTGAATATAGCCGGGCCATAGACATGACCTGACGGCTTAAAGGTGTTTCTGGGACCTCTCCACAGGTGATCCTCAGCCGCATTGTGGCACTTTGTGTCACCGGGTGTTTATCGCTTGTGTGGCGTCCTGGTGGAGTGCAACTACCTACCTACTTTTATACAAAATAATTTTATGTATTTCACTTTTGTTGATATGCCTCACAAATTTAATTGATCCTTTCTATGGTGTGGTTATGTGTTCTTGTAACTCCTGCAGCTCTCTCTCTCTCTCTTTAAGTAGAGTAAGTAGAGGACCTTTATTCATTCCAGTAGCACCTGATGAATAGGATGCTAGACTCGTAATGCTATAGACTAATCAGGACTTGATGGGTGATGTCATCTACATCTATATTTAGTCAAAAGATTCCCTATCTTGGCAGTACCCTATCTCAGAGAGTCAACATCGACGATGAGTTCAATGTTAGAATCTCAAAGGCCAGCAGCAGTTTCGGCAGACTTTATATCAGTGTCTGGAACAGCAGTGCTATCTCCCTGATGACCAAGCTAAAGGTTTATATAGCTGTAATTTTTTCAGTACTGATATAGGCTTGCGAAACATGGTCTGTGTATCAGCATCATGCTAAAAAGTTGAATCAGTTTCATATAACCTGTCTCAGAATGCTGCTCAAAATTAAATGGCAAGATAGGATCCCAAACATTGTGGTTCTTGGTAGGAAAAAACTGCCTATCATCCACACGATACTAAAGAATTATCAGCTGTGTTGGGCTGGTCACCTAACCTGTATGCCAGAATATTGCCTCCCAGAACGGCTCTCAATTCTTTTGGCAACAACACAGCGATGTGGTAGGCTGCTGCACAAGGCCATTCTGGGTGGTGTACATCATTAAGGCATAGTACATCGGCCTGCCAGGAGGGCAAAGGTTGCACAGGCAGAGAAACGGAGACATACTGGAAAGAATTGTAGTGCTAATCCCACACTTAGTGAGGCTTCCATCTGTTGTCCGCACTGCTCAAGAACTTTCCAGGCTCATATTGGACTAATCAGCCACCTTCATACTCATAATCACTCATCATTACTACTTTGGATGAAAGTGGTCTTCATCACTTGTGATAGATGAACAACAGATCTACATCATGCCAACAATCTATTCCTCTCAGAAAATTTCATGGTACTATTTTCGACTATAAAACTATATCTAACATGCATTTACATGCAATTTTAGTACTCCTAGTGCAGTTCTTTTCTGATCATCCACCAGTCTTTGTGCACAAACTGATGAGAGAAATTTGATTTTCATCCCAGTGAAGTTCCTGTCACGCTTACATGACTTTTGTAACCCAGTCTAGGGATCAGCAGGCCATTGTGAGCTTTGAGAAATAACACCCAAGCATTGTTTCAAAAGTGTTTTTTATGTGACCTCTGACACCAGTCAATACTTAAACAGTGAAGATTTTTTTTTTTAAATTACTTCAGCATCTGCTATTTTAATGAACATTGAAAGAATTTAAAAAAAAAACAAATTTCATTCTTACTGTCTGGATGCTGACAAGAAAAATTGTTTTCTTTCATTTCCAAGTTAAGAATCTTTAAGCCACATGCCAGTTTGTCAATGGGTACAAAATCAATTTTAGGCTGTCCATGGCAGTGGTCAAGATCAGGGTTAAGGGTTTGTGATTTGTGCTTCAGAAAACTCTGAGCATGCTGTGGAGAGGCAAATATCAAAAAGTTAGCCAACAGGTACTTAGAATATGCTGTAAACCTTTGATTGGTAAAGTCATTTTTGTATATATTCCTATTATATTAAATTACTAATACTACTTGATTAAAAATATGTTCATATTTAAAAAAAAACTTATAAGATTACACTACCCAAAGTGTTTCTTTGACATCATTATAATTAATATAACCAGACTACCAATCATGGACTTTAGGACTTCAATCCCAGCCTGGATTTTCCTTGACCTGTCTCAGTAAGTAAAGTAAGGAATCCAGGACCTTCAGATCCACAGGCAGCATTTAGCTGCTACACCATGGTCACTATAGTATGTGGTACTCTGAGAGACTATTTGAAAGTAATTGCAGCAGGAAAGAGGGCTACTCATTCCACCTTATAATTCCATGATCTAGAATCTTCTTCTTCTTCTTTCGTTCGCCTGAAATAAGTTGTCTATATCAGCAGTTTTGTCTCTTGTATAAATTTCACTGTCGTTGTTAGTTAATTCAGTGGTCCATAGAGTTTACGTTCCACTGTTGTTCTTTTTGGCCAAAAGGTTTGCCTTAATGTGTCAAATTCGGTGCAGTCCTGGAGTAAATGCTCTGCTGTCTGGGGCACCTTTCCACAGGTGCACATGGCTGATACGCCTATCTTGAATTTTGTGTACATGTGGTTACGTAATCGGCTGTGCCCTGTTCTGAGACGGAGGATAAAAACTTGTTCTGGTCTGTCAATAATAAAATAGTCGTCTTGTGCTGGGGCTGGTGGTTTCCTGATCAGTTTAATGATTTTTTTCTTTTGCTGGTATGTTACTGGTACATCTGGCTGCACTTTTGTCGCACCTTTTCCTGCCAGTTGATCAGCTTTCTCATTTCCAGGCACTCCACAATGAGACGGTATCCACTGCATTACGACTCTTCGCTGAAGGCTGAGTTGTGTCAGCACTGTTTGCAATTCTGGTAGTTTCCTAGACTGGAGTGCTTCAAGTACTTATTTAACATCTGTCAGCATTACCACATACTGTGAACCAAGATTGGTATTTAGCAGTTTCTCTGTTGCTATCTTGATAGCCTGATCTAGAATGCACAAAGACTCACCGCTCCATATTTCTTTTGCAGTATTTACCATGAGACTATTTTATTTATTTCTATATCTCCCGTGTGGGTTCCAGTATCTTAACTCTGCACTAGCTGCTGAAGATGGAGATGGAACACTTATGAGAATGCCTTGAGTGCTGCGATGTTTGTTTTTAATTCAGCTTATTCATAACAAACATGTGGAATATTCACATTCTGACAATACCTGCAAGTTGCTTGTGGCTAATTCAAGGTCACCCAAAGTCAGTTGCTGCTCTATCAGTCTGCTAGAAAAGATGGCTCCCCTGCAATGCAGACACAGCATTTGATCATAAGAATAAACATGATATAAATATATTCTAAATCACAGTTAGTATCAAAAACACCAGAAATGATTTTTTTTTTTAAAAAGATGTAATTACAGCCTGTATCATATATGAGGGTGGATTTAGCTCCTAGAGTCCAACAGGGTTTGGCAAATCAGGCCCAAGGGGTAGTAAACAGAGACATAAAGCCGGCGTGTCTTGTGTTCATTAGGCTTCTAGGTTCGAACCTAGAACATATGATGCATTCCTTGGGACTAAAAGAGTTAACGCTTCTTCATGACTAAAGCAGTCACAACTTTTCTTCCCTGCATTCTGTGAATGTAAATCCTGGCAGAAAATTCTGGTTGTTTATTCACTTCTGGAATTCAGTCTTGCTCCAGAACTTGAGTTTTGCATGCATTTCTATAATACAGATGTGGCCTATTTGTATGCAGACTGTTGGTTCCTTGCCCCTCAGGCAGATGCATTCTGACTTCCAAGGAAACATCTGTAATTAGTCCCTGTGTACGATATGCTTGTCAGGGGAGGAGGGGTGGGGGGGGGGGAGGAGACACTACAAACTGTGCAGGTTAAGATTTTTATTTCTGCTGCTGCCTAGATAAATATGGGAAATTAGAGGTGCTGAAAAATTACTATTCTCACTTTTCGCATTTCTGTTCAATTTCTTTCACTATATAACTTTTATAAAGACTTTAGAGATAATCTATATACTTTGGTCATGTCAAAACAAGGAAAAAACTGGAGTAAACAATGATGGTAGGAAAGCTGAAGGATAATAGAGGTAGAGGTAGACTGACAGAGAAGATGTTAGATGGTTTGGCATCATGAAATAGAAGATGTTCTTCTTAGCATTGACCAACTGTAAACTGCAGTGGAAAGTTCAGGTTGTTCATTTACTCCTGGAATTTTGTCTTGTTCTAGAACTTGAGTTGTGTGTGCACATCCATTTTACAGATCTGACTAATATGTATGCAGACTGCTGGTTCCTTGCTTCTCAGAGAGACATACTCAGACTTAGATCAAAAGGTATAAAACCGAATAAAGAGTAGATCAGCGAGCTTCACTATATGACAAAAACAAATGGAAAATGAACTTGATTCTACAGAGCCTCCATCGGCACATACCATAAATCAAACAAAACCATGAGAATACACAAAATAACTTAACTGGTGTATCCCAAAGCAGCCACATTGATGTCTTACCAGTAGAGATTTTGATGGTAACACCTCTAATTAGTTGACCTTCACAGCAAGCTTGCTGGGAGGACCTGCAGTCTGTGTAGTTGTGAGTTTTTTTTTTTTTAACCCCAAACTGGGGCCTTGGAACCGCAAGGGGAATTTTTAAATTTATAATTTAAGTCTTTTTATGATTCTCGCAGTTCTTTTGAGACATCTAATTTCTGTCATTACAATGTTTCCCTCATTAGATGTAAGCAGTAAGAATTCTTTAAACCCTGCAACCTTATGATGTATCTGTTGTCAAGTTGGTCAGTTTTTAAAAAAAAACATAACGCCGGAGTTTACAGCCGGTGAGCTCAAAGAAGAAGATTTGACTTATATGTAATTTGTATTGTTTCACAAACTGCTTTAATTTGGATTGTGATTATGACAGAAACTGTACTATTACAATGAATAATGAGACAATCTTACATTGTGTCATTAACATGATGGATTTGTTATTCCTTTAGTGTGTAATAGCTGATTAATCTCTTCAATTTCATCTTTAGGGATAACTTTTTCAAAGATGGCATAGGCATACTTTACCCTTCTATAGATGGATTTTAGTTCTAGTAATAAATTGCTTCACCTCATCACGCAGCTCTCTGGGGCCGTTTCTGTGCAACAAGTTTCTAAGAGAACAACTTGCCACAGAGAAAAATTTTAAACTGCAATGACAGCAAATCAAATAGCTTCCCACTTAGAGAGAATGCCATGTGACACCATACTATACAAGATTTACACCAAAACAGCAGGAGGATGTAGAGCTTAAGGTAGACCAAAAACAAGATGGACAGATAATATCAGAGAAACTCTACAACAGCACAATATGTCTATGGCTGCCAGAAAATTAATTTAGCAAGATATCTATATATCAGAAGTGGTACAAGCTGCCCCAATAGAGTGTAGTCCTAACAAACCTTTCATTCACACACAAAAGTATGATAATGAACAATTGAAAAGAGTGACCAGCAGTGAACATCACAGTTCTCTGTGTGGGTTCAGGGGCCCCATTATGGGGAAAACAAGAGCAGACCTACTGCCTTCCCAGCAAGCATGTCGCAGGAGTCGACTAACTGGGGACTTCCTTCAAAGTCGGAGTGCATCTGCCTGAGAGGCAAGGAACAACCAACTGCACTCAAATAAGTCAGTAAAACGGATGTACATGCAAAACTCAGGCCCTGGCACAAAGCCAAAGTCCAAATGGACGAACAACCAGGACTTTTTGCTGGAGCTTACAGCCGACGAACAAAGAAGAAGAAGAACATCACAGTAAGCTGAGAGATATTAGAACAAGTAAGAGTTCTTCTTCTATCTTGGACATGTAGTAAAAGTTGATGGCAGAAGTGAAACAGAAATCAAAAAGAGAACAGGAATGGCTAAAACTGTCTTCAATAAGATGCACAAATTACTGACAGCTAGTCTCCAGAAATGTGGATGTAGAAAAGAATAGATTGTATTTTATGGAAACAAAAACAGTTCAATATGGAGGTTTTGGAAAGACTACAAATGAAAAAAAAAGAATTATTAAAAAAAAAATTAAACAGAGACAATTGAAATATTTTGGTCACATTAAAAGATATAATGCACTTTTAAAAACTATTTTGAAAAGAAATGTCCAGGGCAAGAATGCAAGAGGTAGACAACATTACAAGTGGCGGGACAATATCAAGAGATGGACGAACAGCAGTCTGAGAGAGTATACAACCAATACAAGAGACAGATCCTGTATGAGATCCATGCAGGCAACCTTCATTGTGGAGATGGCAGCTGATTGATTGACTGAGTAACGAATCTTTAAAATTCTAACAATAAAAATGCACACGAATAAAGACAACAAAATCGTTTGACAAACAGGGTGGTCATCATACTTCAACACTGAGATAGATGCAATGATTCCTTGTCAACAAAGCTGACACTGCTAAGACATCACACAGAGGAAGACCAGTAGCCTTCTTGCTCCCTGTTTCAACAATGTCCAGCAATTTAAAAATATTGTCTGTTCCTGGTAAAATTTGGTCATAAACTATCTGGACTTTATTATTTCTGATGCACAGATTGTGAGAATATAATTCTTCATATTTCAGTGCAGCTTCTGCTAAAGGTCTTCTGTTGCTTGCAAGTTTATGGCTCAATGGACAAACTTCTTTCCAGCCAGGTTGGGCAATACAATTGATTACATTGTTACAGGGAACCACTTGGCAAATTGATTTCTCCTTCCTCCACACAATCTGGAAAAAAATCTCACACAATGAATCTGTCAATGCTTTACTAAAAAAAAGTACTCACCAAGTAGCCAACTTAAACTGGTCTGCCACATGCAGACCACGCTCAAGATACTGTATTGTTTTTGTGGTCGGCCCAGTATACTGTAATATTTCTCCCAAAAGTTTTAGTATGCACAAATATTCTTGGACAATATTCCAGGGCCCTAGTGTGTCACCTGAAAAGAAGATCTCAATGCAAACTTGATCTAATTTTAATAAAAGCATGCAGCTGTTATTCTATTTTTTTTAGTAAGATTGTACTGAAGATATTTCTGCATTATCATAAAACTGACTCCCTACAATAGAGAAGCAGCTGGCCAAAAAGTTAAACATGCTGCGCTGTTATGCGGGAGCGCCAGGTTTGAATCCTTGGTAAAGTTGTGGATTCTTTCTGTCAGGGGCAACAATAAAATCCTAAACTGTATATTCTGGGGTGACTGCACTAGCCATGTGGCCTAAAATTATCCGGATTAAAGACCTACACCCCCTTTTTTTTTTACACTGCAAAAATGTTAAATACGAGCAGCAATGGCAGACTCCGCAAAGAACCCAATTAATCTTAAAAGTCCATGTGATCTCAGTGCACAAGGCCTTCTGCATGTCATGGTTTCATATCAGTAAGGAATATTTGGTTGAACAGCATGTAAGGAAAGAAAAACAACTTCAGGACCTCTGAGAGTTGGACAGACAGGTAATGTAAGACAATTTGCAGTCTGTTTCTCTGAGAGTTGGAGACTGAGCCTGTTTCCCTCAAAGACGATGAATTGTCTATTTTGCTGAGAGTTTATTAGAGAGGCACTTAGGATAATATCCTATCTGTTTCACTGAGACTTGATCAAACACACAAATGAGACTGTGAATTGCCTGTTTTTGTCCCTGAGAGTTGAAAAGACAGACACATAAAACGTCCTGTCTGTCTCATATTTGATCAGATGGCAAAATGAGACATTGAACTGCCTGTTTCTAGAATAAAAAAAACTCTACTTAAGGACATCTACCTTTAGAATCACGCACTTTGGGCACAGTCACTGGTTGTGCTTATTTATACTGAGAAAATACAAATGGATGTAGGTCTTGGACTGTCACACCAACATTAGAGAATAAAATATGGGTTTTGGAGCTAACATAATACAGAAAAATTCTCAGAATACCCTGAACTAATAATTAAGGAAATTCAACATCCTAAAAATGTAAAAATCAAGGAAGATTGGCTTGTAAAAAAGCCCACTGTCACGGAAACTAAAATTCTAATTCTAAATTTTTGTGGATTATGGAATGTACAAGAGATACCCCGGTAGTATGTATGCGATATATACTTGCACTGCCTACTATTGCAGACAGGCTCAAAGTTCTGCAAGCAACGTTATATTGCAGAGTAGCTGCAGACAAGAGGTAACTCCTGCAGAAGCCTTGGATAGAGCTAAGGGTCACAGACTGAAAAGAGGAAAGTCTTGGATGGTGCTAGCTGAAGACACAACTGGACATGTGTGCAAGCTTGATAAATTTAGGGGAGGAAAGGAGTGGATCAAAGTGTCTGATCAGGTTTCAGATTTATGTAGGGTTCTAATCACTTTGGGACGTGAGTGCAGGGACTGGCCAGCTGGTACTGCAGAATCAAAAGTTCAAACAATGATTCATAACAATTCCCACCCAAGTGATGTGATTGTATATACAGATGGCTCTGTGGTGAGAGGCAGACGAAGTGCATGGGGGTTCATAGCGAAGGCGAATAGACATCGCTTGGCGCAACAAAGCCTGGCATATGATATCACAACATCTAGTTTGAGAATGGAGGTGGAGGCAGTCACTGCTGCCTTCCACTGGCTTGAGAATCAGCTGTACACACATGTGATCATTGTAACTGACTCACAGCGCATGCTGAGAAAGGTGGAGAAAGGCATGCTCTGTGCAGAGTGGGAAGCATCACTTCAGAGGTCCCGGGTAGTTAGCATACTTTGGATATTTTCTCCAGGTTATGCCGGTGTGTTGGGAAATGAGCAGACAGATAGAATGGCTGGTGCTGCACCACTTGGTGGTGAACTGATTTATTACAAGCTGGATTTTGTGAGTGCCCTTTGAAGGTGAGTAAACAGTGCAGAGGAACAGATAGATCATTACTGTCTGAGGAGAATGGCACTGCGAGGAGTTACAAGGGGAAAGGCGAGATGGATATATAATCAGACAGTTGCTGGTACCATGGGAAATTCGACTCTTCGCTTGCTGCTGGAGAGGGGGACGGAGCACTTATGAGGGTATCCTGAGTGCTGTGATGTCGATTCTTAATTTAGGATAGTATATGAGATGGGAGAGCTGGCAAGAGACCTAGTTTCTTTCAGGTGGTCCATGATGAGAATGGCATTCTGTAAAGACTGCTATGTGATGACACATTGGAATCTCAGTTCTCAAAACCCTCTCTTCTGGAACAATTGGTTTTCTGAACAAATTTGTTGGGATGATTTTGGCATTCTGTAAAGACTGCTATGTGATGACACATTGGAATCTCAGTTCTCAAAACCCTCTCTTCTGGAACAATTGGTTTTCTGAACAAATTTGTTGGGATGAGATTGGCATTCTGTAAAGACTGCTATGTGGTGACACATTGGAATCTCAGTTCTCAAAACCCTCTCTTCTGGAACAATTGGTTTTCTGGACAAATTTGTTGGGATGAGATTGCGGCAAAAGGGGTGAGTTTTTCTCAATGCAGATTCCTGCACAATTGTGCAGTTCTTCACTTGATTTCCTCTACAATGCTCCTTATAAGGGGGGGGGGGGGGGGGGGGGCTGCATGGTCTCACACCAAATCCCTTGGCAGCTGGAAATCGAAAAGAACAGCCAAATAGCTGTGCCCGGGCAAAAATTTGGAGAAAAATCTACTTCAGGATCCTCACCGGTGCTACAGAGCCTGTGCACTGTGCTGTGGGTTTTCGGACTTAAGACTTGAGTTAGAAGAAGAATGGAGCACTTATGGGTTACTGCCCATGTGCCATGAAGTTGATCCATTGTTCAAACCTCAAAACAATGCTCCTGATCACACAACAAGCTTCACGGATGATCCGATGGAGGAAACTTGATTTTATCACAGTGAAGCTTACTCAACTTCTATAATCATGTCTATGGATCAGCATGCCATTGTGAACTTTAAGAAACTACACCAAAGCATTATTTCATAAATGTTTTTATGCAGCTCTCTGAAACACAGTTAAAACAGTAAAAGAGAATTCAACAATAAAAGATCACTTTAGCATCCACTATTCTTTAGGCGTCTTTGACAAAGTTTGGATGCAAGTACTTTACAGGACCATGAACTTGGCCCATGCAAAACTGTGGCCAGGCCTGACTGGGTCACAGATAAAGACACTTTAGAGTCTGTTGCTACTTTAATTTTTGTCTCTGTGCAAAAGAATGGTTTAAAAAAAATAAAAATATTGCTTTTATTTTGTTTTCATTTTAAACAATTTTATCTATGAAGTATTGTTACATAGGTTGTGTGTAATCAACTGGAACTAAGAAATGAATTAATCCAATTTAGGTTAATTTTTTTAAGGATGCTTTTGGTATTCAAACAACTTAACAAATTTTAAGTATGAATTATGTCTGGGAACTGACGTTCCAATAGTGTGTGTGTGTGTGTGCGCGCGTGAGTGGGTGTGTGTGTGCATGTGTGATGAACAGTTTGTGATTCACTGCTTGATGGACAGTTATGGCTATTGTCATTCCATGTCGATGTAGAAGCTCTTTAATGTCATCAATCCATATTCTTCTAGGGCAGCCTCTTGCTTTCACTTCAGATCTTTTCTTATGTATGCAAATGAAAAATGTTTACCCATATATTGGTGCATAGTTTAAGGAGTTAACACTTCACTTATAATAAATACAAGAAATACAGGAAGGGTAGTGATTTATTTTATAGATATGTACATATGTATACACTGTGTGTGTGTGTGTGTGTTTTTCAGATCGATGAACGGGTCGCCCATTGGCTCGCCGACAGACAACTCCAAAGCCACTTGGGGCAGTATTTGGGTCTGTCTTTTTTGATGCATCAACACGACAAGAGTTCTTTTCAGAACTACTTGATGGTAGGCAATGAAAAGCCCTTTTACATGGTGCACATAACCTAGTCACAATTATAACCTAAACCTCTCCCTTCAGAGATGATTGAACGTGACAATTTTTTCCGCAAAGCAAGCCAAGCGTGTGTGTGTGTTTTTCTCTTGCTTGGAATTTGTGAAGGACTAATACAGATTGGGAGGACAAGGCTGAAATACTCATTAATTTAATCAATTGTTACAGCAATATCTGATATTTTTAAAAACCTAATATTTCTTGGATTATGTAATGCATTCACAACTAGCAATTATGTGGTTAAATTAGACAACAATTGTTATCTAGTCAATATAACTATGTCCTTAAACTAATCTTCAAAGCAGAATATAATCTCATCCCAAGTTCAAACTAATTAGCTAAGCAATATTACTCACGTGAAGCTGTCAGCCTCGGAAAGTTATCTCCAAACTTGGAAGTGTATACCGATTCAATGTGGGAAAATGATGTCTCGGCCATGTGGAGTGCAGTTTGCTGAAGTTTTCTGTTTCTGCGACGTGCTGGAAACAGGAGTATGCACCATCAGAAATGGACATGTAATGGAATACTTGAAAGGTGATTTCATATTTTCTTATTTTTTCTTTGTGTTCACATGCTGTAAACTGTGGTGGAAAGTTTTGGTTGTTCTTCCACTTGTGGACTTTGGACTTGCTCCAAAACTTAAATTTTATATGCAGATCCATTTTACAGAGCTTTCTTATTTGTATGCAGACTGTTGGTTCCTCTCAAAGCACATGCACTCTGAAAAAAAATACCCCTCATTAGTTAACTCTTAGGACATGCTTGTTACAGGGGCAACAGATCTCTTTTTTTTTAGCTTTCCAACAATGGGGGAATGTTATATTTTCAGTCATACTCATCAACTTTAACTTTTGCCATTAAACATGTTTGGAAGGAGTAGTTTTCTGTTTAGAACTTGATGAGTGGCATTAGACACTGTGTCTGTTTTGTCATCAATCAATATTTTCTTTAGATGTGCTCTTATTCTCATATCAGATTTTTGTTTGTTTTAGGTTGAACAGTTGTTAATTGTATTCTAACAAGATGATCAAACTATTTGATCTTCTGCTTCCGAATATATTTGGTACAATGCATTTTTCACTATTCCCCCTCCCCCCACTCTTTTAAATAGTATTGTTTCATACTTATAGATTGTTAAACTGGCAGCTTTTTTAAGGCATCTTCTGTGTTGAGGGGCGAAAGAAGAAAGGTCATAGCAAAAGTAAATGGACAACTCTTAGTGAAACAGTGTTTGGCATATGAGACCCTAACATCTATTCTGAGAATAGAGGTGAAGCTAGTAACTGCAGCTTTTGACAATTGGTGTGATTGTAACAGACTCAAAAAAGTATGTTCAGGAAGATAAAGACAGGTATGCTCCAAGCAGAGTGACAAGTATTTCTTTAGAGGTCACAAGTAGTTAGCATCCTTCTTATGTCTTTTTCAGGGCATGGAGGTGTGTAGCAAAATGATCAGGCAGACAGACTGGCTGGTTCTGCATTGCTTGGTCATAAGCTAATGCATGGAAGCTAGATATTATCAAGGTCTTTTGAAAGTGAGTCAACAGTGTAAAATCGCAAACATATCATCACATTGTGAGTGGCAGTGACCTGGCGATTTGGCTGACACTTCAAGGAAAAGTGAAATAACCATATAGCCAAACTGCTACTGGTACCACTGGAACTGGAACTCTGATGGCTGCTGAAGATGGAGGGGCAGAATAAACTCTGTGATGGCTGCTGAAGATGGAGGGACGGAATAAACTCTGTGATGGCTGCTGGATATGGGGGGACGGAATAAACTCTGTGATGGCTGCTGAAAATGGAGGGGCGTAATAAACTCTGTGATGGCTGCTGAAGATGGAGGGGCAGAATAAACTCTGTGATGGCTGCTAAAGATGGAGGGGCAGAATAAACTCTGTGATGGCTGCTGAAGATGGAGGGACGGAATAAACTCTGTGATGGCTGCTGGATATGGGGGGACGGAATAAACTCTTTGATGACTGCTGTAGATGGAGGGGCAGAATAAACTCTGTGATGGCTGCTGAAAATGGAGGGGCGTAATAAACTCTGTGATGGCTGCTGAAAATGGAGGGGCGTAATAAACTCTGTGATGGCTGCTGAAGATGGAGGGGCAGAATAAACTCTGTGATGGCTGCTGAAGATGGAGGGGCAGAATAAACTCTGTGATGGCTGCTGAAGATGGAGGGGCAGAATAAACTCTGTGATGGCTGCTGAAGATGGAGGGGTAGAATAAACTCTGTGATGGCTGCTGAAGGTCAAGGGATAGAAGACTTATGTGAATGTCCCGAGTGCTATGCTGACTGTTCTAAATTCAACTCAACTCAGGGATATCTCTTCATAAGTGTTAAGTTTACATAGGTGAGCCTCTGAAAACGTCCAAGTCTGGCAACGGTAGCATAGTGTTGCAGCACTGCTTAGTTTATTGTCTGTTTTAATACAGTACCATACTTAGTTTTTAAAAACAGTACCTTTTTTTCATTTGTTCAGTTAATCAAGTAATGCATTCCTCAGTAACATATACCAATAATATTAAATATTAACAATTACATAATAAAAATAACAAGACAGTGGTGCCTGAAATTAGCAAACATAAATTTACCAATGCTGTTGCCACACGAAAAAATTGACTAAATTAAAAAAAATTAATATATATATATATATATATATATATATATATATATATATATATATATATATATATATATATATATATATATATTGACTGCAAAATGTTGCTATAAGCCATGAAACAAGTTAAATATTAGTAGCAACACAAACTGCAATAATCATACAGCTTTTCATCTTATATCCTGATGTGACCATTTCCACATTGTTAGATATTTGTTTTTACCAAATTTTACTGTAGCTCTAAAGACAATTATACGTTGGTTAGCCCTAGTTACAATCTCTGCAGATCTTAGATGAATGTATGTTGTTATGAAAGCCTTAACATTTTTAAAAATGTGCAACTAATGAAGGTCTGTGTTGTCAATATATATATATATATATATATATATATATATATATATATATATATATATATATATATATATATATATATATATATATATATATATATATATATATATATATATATATATATATATATATATATATAACAGAGAAAAATTTGGCTAACTTTTGTTTATGTCATATAAGTCACCGCTAGTTTTAAAAGGGGGGAAAAAACTATTACTGGGCTAGAAAACTCTACTTACATACCAGTTTATGGTAACCAATTCCTAAAACATTAAAATAAAAGATTTTGAAATTATAATTTCATTTATATTAACTACCAACTAGGGTTTGTGTATTTTCCTGTGGTTTGGTTATTTTTCCATCACAATAAAATTAATAATATCTCATTAAATATTGTGTTCAGAAAACAAAAATGTATTTTTTTTAATAATATGATCAGTTACCAACATATTTAACTACCCTGGTTCAGAGCAAAGTTTTTTTGTGTAAACAGATAGTATTTGTGTGTACTAAGCAGTATATCATCTGACAATAGACCATGGCTGATTACATATTACACACTGCTTGGTACACACAGACAATAGTTGGTTACAAATCAGTGGCTGATTACACATGACACGTTGCATGGTACACACAGACAATAGTTGGTTACAAATGACACATTAGCTGGTATAGACAGTGGCTGATTACACATGACACATTGCTTGGTACACAGACAATAGTTGGTTACAAATGACACATTAGCTGGTATAGACATTGGCTGATTACACATGACACATTGCTTGGTACACAAAGATACTAACTGAATGCACATGATACATTGATTGCCAGGTACAAACAGACAATAGCTGATTACACATGACACACTGACTGGTTTACAGACAATGGCTGATTACACATGACACATTGCTAGTTACACACAGACAATGGCTGATTACACATGACACATTGCTTGGTACACATACAATGGCTGATTACATTAGCTGATTTTCTTGCTGAAATGCATAAACCAGTGTCGAGTCACTATACATCTATGCACCTGATGATACACAGCAAAATAATCAAGGCAATAAACTGTGCAATGTATTGTTTGTGTCTGCATTATTTAAACAAGGCAATAAATTGTGCAATGTATTGTTTGTGTCTGTATTATTTAAACAAGGCAATAGTTAAAAACAGAACCTTTTGTTTTTACTAATTTTCTAGACCCTGACATCATCAGAAATTCTGCCTCTAGCCTCATGATGACAGCTTTTGCAAAGGAAACAACAGCTGGACTTTGGCATCTCTCATCTGACATTTGAAACTTTCTGTAGACAGCAGCACGCACAACAGTAAATCTATGAAACTGAAACAAAATTATGCAAACATTAACATTTTTTATACCTAAATACCAGTTCAGAAAGAGAGATTACTTTTTAACTTTAAACTTAAAGGTTACATGAACAATTTTTGTATACATTGAATTATTGTCACCATTTAGCAGGGCCTTTGCAGGACATCGTTCTCATCAGGGTCTGCCTGAAAAAAAAAACTTGGTTTCTTGCCACCTCTCTTGCCTAGTGTACTTTCATATCCAAGGAATCACCTATATCCTGTGTCCATCTTCGTGTTGGTCAGTCTCTGCACCTCCCTCCTGATATAACACTCTCTGCTATTATTATTTATTTTGTCAAATCCACCATGGCGCTTGATATGGCATCAATATTTCAGCTTCTGCAACAAGATACTATTTATTGGCCAATATTCCTTGATGTTCAGATCTTTTTGCATGTCAGTATTTCTTTTCTTCTTTGCCCATGTTATTCTGAAAACCTTTATACAGCATTTCGTCTCAAAGGCTCTTATTTTCTTCCTTAATTTGGACCAAAAAGAGTAAAATTTTTGACATTTCTTCAGTATGTGAATTTCAAATGGTTGAGAGGGGAACTCATAGATTAAATACTAAAATAATTTGGCAACATTAAAGGCCATGATGGCAAGTTTCAAGATCTAAAATCATAGTAGTCTGGACATTCCCATAAGCATTTCATCCCCATCTTCAGCAGCCATAAAAAAATCCAAACTCTGATGGTGCCTAAACAGTCTGATTGCATGTCCATCTTCCTTTCCTCTGAGTGTAAAGCATCAGCCAGATCCCCTGGTCACATCCCTTTGCCCCATTCTCTTTGGACCATGATGATCTGATTGTGCCTTTGCACTGTTCATTTGCTCCTATAGGGCCTTCACATCTAGCCTGGTGTGAGAGAATGAATGAAAGAACAGACATCACTGCACTTGGGAAATTCACACATATACTCCGGCCCCTTCTTCTTTCCAATTAAAAGTCGGCTTTTGTTCCTCCCACAGTGTTGAATATCTTTCAGAATCTCTACAACTTCTCTTTGAAATAGTCTCTCAATGTATGATTTCTCTGTCTGTTCTATCACACTGTCCATTTGATACCACAAAGCCATC